GAACCTCAAGATGTGAGGTGAGTGCATGTAAGTTCTCAGGTACTTTTTATTTTTAAATCCTCACCAGAGGATATTTTTCATTGATTTTTAGATAGAGTGGAAGAAGGGGGGGGAAGGTGGAAGAGGAAGAGGAGGAAGGGAGGGAGGAGGAGGAAGAAGAGAGGAAGGAGAGGAGGAGGAGGAGGAGGAGGAGATTGCCTCCCCCTGGCACCCCAACCGGGGCATTTTTCATTGATTTTTAGATAGAGTGGAAGAAGGAGGGGAAGGTGGAGGAGGAAGAGGAGAAGGGGAGGGAGGAGGAGGAAGAAGAGAGGAGGAGAGGAGGAGGAGGAAGAGATTGCCTCCCCCTGGCACCCCAACCAGGGCGGGGATTGAATGTGCAACCGAGGTATGCACCCTTGACCAGGAATGGACCTGAGACCCTCTGGTCGGCGTCCGATGCTCTAACCAATGAGCAACCAACCAGGGCTCAGGTACATTTTTCTGTTTCATATCAGTTTTTATATGTGTGACCTAGAGAACGTTTTTTAAAAAAGCTAAAGCAATTGAATATCTATCTTAGTTGATGTGAGGAGAACTACTGAAAGCTGGTGTAAATCTTTGAAAATCATTCTACATTTAGGAGCTTAACTCAAACCCTAATGTATTATAATATCCTGCTTATTCCTGAAAATACCCCTGGTGTGAAGTATAGGAGAAGGACAAACTATGATACTACATGTCCTTTAGTTAGCAAGAAATTTGAGCATTTCTATTTTGTATGGTTTACATTTTGTTAGTGCTTAAAGGAGTTAAGTGATTTGCAGAGATTTTCTGATAGCCTGTGTCTTGTTTTCGTTATCTTAATACTGTGTTTTACTGAGCTGGAGTTATTTTATTATAGTCAAAATGATCATTTTTTTCTATCTTGGCTCTTGCTTTTGTTGTATCAAAAAATTAATACTAAACCAAGGTCACCTAGATTTTCTTCTACATTATCTTCTAGAAGTTTTGTAGTTTTGCATTTTGTACTAACTCTCTGATCCATTTGAGTTCATTTTTGTGAAATTTAAAACCTGTTTATATTTTCTTTCTCTCGTTCTGTCTTTCTGCTTATGGATATCCAGTTTTTCTTGCACTATTTGTTGTAAAGACTGTTTTCCCACTGAATTGCCTTTAGTCCTTTGTCAAAGATCAGTTCAGTATATTTGTGGGTATCTGTAGAAAGCAATAATTACCTTTTTAAAAAAATATATTTTATTGATTTTTTCAAAGAGGAAGGGAGAGGGATAGAGAGTTAGAAACAAAGATGAGAGAGAAACATCGATCAGCTGCCTCCTGCACATTCCCTACTGGGGATGTGCCCGCAACCAAGGTACATGCCCTTGACCGGAATCAAACCTGGGACCCTTGAGTCTGCAGGCTGACACTTTATCCACTGAGCCAAACCGGTTAGGGCCAATAATTACCTTTTGTATATTAACCTTTTATCCTTCAACCTTTCTCTATTCTCTTATTCGTTCAAAAGGTTTTCTTATTTGGGATTTTTTTTTTAGAGTTTCTCCTTAGACAGTCTTGTCATATGCCAGAAAGACAATTTATGTCGTCTTGCTAGATACCTTTTATTTCCTTTTCTTGTTTAATTGCAATAACTAAGAATTCCAGTACAAGGTTGACTAGAAGTGGTGAAAGGGGACTTTTTTCCCCCCTTCCTCATGTTACTGTAAAACATATAGTTCTTTCAATGTAGTATCTCTCTCTCTTTCTTTATATATATGTTATATACATATACAATGTTTCTCAACCTGTGGGTCGCGACCCCTTTGGTGGTCGATCGACCCTTTCACAGGGGTCGCCTAAGACCAGCCTACATATCAGATATTTACATTATGATGCATAACAGTAGCAACATTACAGTTATGAAGTAGCAATGAAAATAATTTTATGGTTCGGGGTGACCACAACATGAGGAACTGTATTAAAGGGTCGTGGCATTAGGAAGGTTGAGAACCACTGATCTAGAGAGAGTGTTAAGGGCTTAATAACTGAGCCATCTTGGCTATTTATTTATTTGTTTATTTTTAAATATTTTTATTGATTTCAGAGAGAAAGGTAGAGGGAGAGAGAGATAGAAACATCAATGATGAGAGAGAACCATTGATCGGCTGCCTCCTGCACACCCTTTACGGGGGATCGGGCCCACAACTCTTCAGTCTGCAGGCCAACACTCTATCCACTGAGCCAGGACAGCTACGGCAAGATTTTATTTTAATTGCTGAATAATATTCCACTGTGTGTGTGTGTGTGTGTGTGTGTGTGTGTGTAGCAATAACATGTCTTTATCCATTCATATATTGGACATCTAGGTTGCTGCCATACCTTGTCTGTTACTGGTAGTGCTGCAATGAACATATGGGTGCATGTATATTTTTAAAATAGTGTTTTGGATTTTTTTCGGTTTATACCCAGAAGTGGAATTGCTGGGTCAAAAGGTACTTTTAATTTTTTGAAGAACCTCCTACTGTTTTCCATAGTGGCTACACCAATTTGCAAGCCCATCAACAGTGCTCAAGGGTTTCCTTTTCTCCACAGCCTCACAAACACTTATTGCTTGTTGATTTATTGATAGCCATTCTGATAGTGTGAGGTGATATCGCATTGTTGTTTTAACTTGCATTTTTCTGATGATTAGTGATGTTGAGCATCTTTTCATATGTCTGTAGGCCATCTGTATGTCCTCCTTGGAGAAATGTCTATTCAGGTACTCTTCCCATATTTTAACTGGATGAGGGAGGTGTGTTAAATTTTATGAATTGCGTATATATTTGGGATATTAATTCCTTATTGAATGTATCATTTGTGAATATCTTCTCCCATTCAGCAGGTTGTCCTTTTGTTTTGTTGATGGTTCCCTTCACTGTGCAAAACTTTTTAGTTTGATGTAATTCCATTTAATTATCCATTTATTTTGTTACCTTTGCCCAAGGAGACGTATCCAAAAAGATATTGCTAAGAGCAATGTCAGAGTTTACTGCCTGTTTTCTTCCAGAAGTTTTATGGTTTCATAACTACTTATTGTAGTTTGAGTTGGTTCCTTTTAACATGCTGCCCCATGCTGGAGCTCAGAGAGAGTGAGTCTGAATGAGTCTGTGTGCGGCCCTTTAGTTAAAGCCCAAAGTTATGGGACTTCTCTTCCTGGCACTGGAACTCTGGGCTGGGTATCTTGTGTGGGGGCTGGGACCCCTTGCTCCTTATGGGAAACCTCCACAGCCAAGATATTCCTCCTGATTATAAACTGCCACATGTGGGTGTGGGCCCAGCCTGTTCCACATGTCCGCCTCTTCTACCGGTCTCGATATGGCTCCTTCTAATGTATTTTTCATTTGAGTTATTGTATTCTTCGGGTCTGTTTGGTTATTATACTTTCTACCTCTTTGTTAAAGTTCTCCCTAAGTTTTTCTATTCCATTCTTAAGTTTGGTGAGTATCCTTATAACCATTTCTTTGAAATTTTTATCAGGCAAATGACTTATCTCCATTTTTGTAGGGGTTGTCCCCCCCTCACCCTCCAAGGTTTTTCTTGTTTCTTCATTGGAAAGATATTCTTCTGTCTTTTCATTTTGTTTAACTTTCTATGTTTGCTTATATAATTAAACAAAATAACTGTCTCTCCCAGTCTTGAAAAAGTGGCCTTTTGTAGATGCAGCCTCTGTGTAGGCTGTTTGCCAGGTGGTTTCAGCAGGCTGGGAGGAGCTGAGCAGGTGCCTAAGGTGTCTGTCTGCGATATTGGCATACCAAGCCAGAGCATCGCTGGGTGTGGAGGCCATGTGCATATAGTTATGCTCTGTTGACCCTGCTTGCTCCATTTATTCGGAGCCAAAATGGTCTCAGGTGATGTATCCAAAAAAATCTACAGTGACCTTGCAGGTAGGCCAGAGCACCAGAATAGAGCTCCTGTCACCCCGTGGAAGTGGAAGGGGTGTAACCAATGGCACTCGCTGGCAACTCAAGAAAGTTCCTTCTGTTCCAAATCCCTGATGACCTGGGTTTCCCAGCTTTCTCTGTTAAGATTTCTTTCTCTCCTTTGCTGTTCAGAAGTTTTTGATTCACCCAATGGTCGGCAAACGCATTAGTCAACAGAGCCAAATATCAACAGTACTTCTTCAAAATAGACTCGCCCAGGCCGAAAACCGACTTCTGCGCATGGGCCACAAAGTTTCAATCACACTGACATGCACACCCACACGTAGTATTTTGTGGAAGAGCCACACATGGCTCGCAAGCTGCAGTTTGCCGACCACGGCAGTCGGCTTGGCTCAGTGAATAGAGCGTCGGCCTTCAGACTGAAAGGTCCCGGGTTCAGTTCTGGCCAAGGGCACATGCTTGGGTTGTGGCTCGATCCCCAGTAGGGGGGTGTACAGGAGGCAGCCAATCAATGATTCTCTCTCATCATTGATGTTTCTCTCTCTCTCCTCTCTCTCTCTCCCTCTCCCTTCCTTTCTGAAATCAATAAAAATTTAAAAAGAATCTTGTTGATTCAGCCCTCAGTTATTTTGCAGGAGTTTATACATGTATATTTGATGCTTGCTCATGGCAGGGGCCTACCCCATCACCATCTTGGACTCCAGTTTGTTTATATTAAACAAGAGTCTAGCCTTACCTGGTTTGACTCGTTGGATAGAGCATCAGCCTGAGGACCAAAGGACCCTGGGTTCAATTCTGGTCAAGGGCACGAACCTTGGTTGCAGGAGGCAACCAATCGATGTGTTTCTCTCACATCAATGTTTCCGTCTTTCCTTCTCTCTTCCACTCTCCCTAAAAATCAATGGAAAAATAGCCTCAAGTAAGGATTTAAAAAAAGAATTTATGAGGAAGTGAGTGTGTCCAATAAGTAATAGTTCTGACAACAAAGTTATAAAATAAATGTTGGGAAACCACAGTGTCATATGTGAACTTGTTATGAATTAAGTATCAATTCCTAGTGTTGTTCATCTCACCCATTCTCCTGTTTACATATTTGGGATGTTTTAGGATTCTGTGGCCTTTGAGGATGTAAGTGTGAAATTCACCCTGGAGGAGTGGGCTTTACTGGATTCCTCACAGAAGAAACTCTACAGAGATGTGATGAGGGAAACCTTCAGGAATCTGACCTCCATAGGTAAGGATGACAACTTCTTACTTACCTGCTTAGTCAATTAGAATACCAGTGTTGTTTGCTCATCAATAGATTTCCAAAGAGTAGAATGTGGAAAGGAGATGTATTGGTAAATAAACCAGGCATGGTCACAGCTCATCATGGATTTATTATGTAACAATTTTTCTGTAAGTTATTTTTCTTTGATTTTTTTAGGTGTGTGTTGTTGTTTTTTCTATGAGGTTTTATGTTTATAATTCTTCCTGGTCTGCATTGTAGGAGAAATATGCAAAGACCATGACATTGAAAGTCAATATGAACATCATGGGACAAATTTAAGGTGAGTCACACTGACATGAGAAGCAGTGTTCCATGAATCTCAGTAAATCTTGAAATATTTATAACTGCACATAAAACAAATCAGCCAAGTTTTTTTTATTCTTGCAATATTTTCATCATAATTTTTTCTCACATGTGATTTAGATGTTTAGTGTTTCAAAATTAGTACATTTGGAAATAGTATTTTGAAACTCCATTTATGAATAAACTTTTAATAATAGCTATGATTGAGCTCTCTTGCAAAACATTTAGAACTTTCAAACAATCAGAAAGCACTAAACACTTATAGTTTCCTTAATTATGGTTAAAAAAAAGTCATTTAATAACTATTAATATAAATACATTAATAAATAATATGCTTTTCACTTTTTACAGCATTCATATAGTAAAGAGACCAGGTAAAAATAAACAAGGTAGTCAATATGGAGAAAACTTCAGCCAAATTCCAAATCGTAATCAGAAAAAGAAAACTTCTTCTGGACTAAAACTGTGTGAATGCAGTGTGTGTGGAGTCTTCATGAATCATTCATTCTTCAGTAGGCATATGAGATCTCACACTACACCCAAACCATATGAGTATCAGGAATATGAAGAAAAGCCATATAGATGTAAGGAATGTGGGAAAGCTTTCAAGTATCGCCAGTCCTTTCGAAGGCATGAAAAGATTCACACTGGAGTGAAGCCTTATATATGTAAGCACTGTGGTAAAGCTTTCAGTTGTATCAGTTATTGTCGAACTCATGAAATATCTCACACAGGAGAGAAACCGTATAAATGTAAGCAATGTGGTAAAGCTTTCATTTGTCCCAGTTACTTCAGAAAACATGAAAGAACACATACGGGAGAGAAACCGTATGAATGTAAGCAGTGTGGTAAAGCCTTCAGCTGCTTTACATCCTTTCAAAGCCATGAAAGGAGACACAGTGGAGAAAAGCCCTATGAATGTAAAAAATGTGGCAAAGCCTTCACCTGTCCAAGTTACTTTCGAAAACATAAAAGAATTCATACTGGAGAGAAACCCTATGAATGTAAGCAGTGTGGTAAAGCCTTCAGTTGTTCCAGATCCTTTCGAAGTCATGAAAGGAGACACAGTGGAGAAAAGCCCTATGAATGTAAAATATGTGGCAAAGCCTTCAGTTGTCCAAGTTATTTTCGAAAACATGAACGAAGTCATACTGGAGAGAAACTCTATGAATGTAAGGAATGTGGGAAGTCCTTCAGTTGTCCAAGTTACTTTCGAAAACATGAAAGAAATCATACTGCAGAGAAACCCTATGAGTGTAAGGAATGTGGGAAAGCTTTGAGTTCTCTTACCAACTTTCGAAGACACATGATGAAGCACACCGGAGATGGGCTTTACAAATGTAAGGAGTGTGGGAAGGTTTTTGATTGTCCAAATTACTTTCAATATCATGAAAGCACACATAGTGGAGAAAAGCCATATGAATGTAAGGAATGTGGTAAATCCTTCAGTACTCCCAGATCCCTTCAAAATCATGAAAGAACTCATACCAGAAAAAAACCCCATGAATGTAAGGAATGCGGTAAAGCCTTCAGTTTTCCCTGTTCCCTTCAAAAACATGAAAGAAGTCATACTGGGGAGAAACCCTATGAATGTAAGCAATGTGGGAAGGCCTTCACTTATCTCAGTTCCATTCAAAAACATGAAAGAGCTCATAGTGGAGAGAGGCCCTATGAATGTAAGGAATGTGGGAAAGCCTTCATTTCCCTTTCCAATGTTCAAAGACATATGATAAAGCACACTGGAAATGGGCCTTGTAAATGTGAGGAATGTGGGAAAGCCTTTGATTGTCCTAGTTCATTACGAACACATGAAAGAACTCACACTGGAGAGAAACCCTATCAGTGTAAAAAGTGTGGTAAAGCCTTCAGTCGTCCCAGTTCTTTACGAAGTCATGAGAGAGCTCATAACTAAGAAAAAGTCTGAATATAAGGAATGTGTGAGAACCTTTTGTGGACATGTAAGAATGCACACTGGAGCGATACCCTATGTGGCAAGCCTTTAGCTGTCTCATTTCCTTGGGAAGCCACACCCAAAAACAGACAAACAAAAACCTCACAGTGGAAAAAGTTCTAAAAGTAAACAATATAGGAAAACCTTCACTTGTCTCAAATCCCTACAAAACCATGTGAGAATGAATACTGGGTAGAAACTGTATAAGTGAAAAAAATAAGACATAATTTTTAATTTTAATATATTTTCAAAGTGGTGTGAAAACTGCATTGGAAATAAATAATATTAATGTAACTAATATGGGTAACCTGTTGAAAACCAGGTTACTATAAAATTTTCATGATATGAGTGAAATATTATAAAGGTTATACATATATGGTCTTATTATTACTGACTTATTCTTTAAGTAATTCTCTGTAGTATGGGGTCCTACTTGTGTAAGTAAATATTGAAGTGAGATAATTCTGTAGATCTGTGGGTGAATTGAAGTGTATTTCTAGCATGCAAGTAGGTTTAATTTTTATATAATTTTGTAATTGATCCATAAGAAAAGGACCATTGAAAAATGACATTTGGTATTTGTTTTTTGTTTTCCTACTGGCCAATGGTGACAAGAACTGGATATGTTTTACCCTTTTATATACGTGTGTATTCCACCTTTCTTTCTTAATAGAAAACTACTTTTTCATTTGCCTGAAGAGCCTTACTGTTTTTCTTGCCAATAAATACATTTGTAAGTGTGCAGAGTTCATCATGGAGTATAGTTTCATGAATTATTTTCATCTGTTGTTCCTTGTTCTTTATGATTCCTTCTGTTCGGGCTGTGGAGTGTGCATTAAGAGGAGAGATCTGTGATAAGACAATAAAATCTAGACTTTGAAATAAGCCTTCTTAACTGTTACAACAACATGAGTAATGTTGTGAAATACAAATGTTGCCTTTCTGATTCCATGTTAGAATTCACCGAAGATGCAACTTGGAACACAGAAGTGAAATAGGATTAGGCAGGTTTTGGAGGCACCTGAATAGATAAGACAGACAGATGCATAGGGCCTTTGTGAACACTTGCTTCCAGACCATTTTCTTTTCTTTTTTTTTTCTTTTTTTTATATATTTTATTGATTTTTTACAGAGAGGAAGGGAGAGAGAGATATAGAGAGTTAGAAACATCGACGAGAGAGAAACATCGATCAGCTGCCTCCCGCACATCTACTGGGGATGTGCCCGCAACCCAGGTACTTAATACCTAAGTTTGTTTATAAATTAGGCATAGTAGGACATGAACAACTAATAATAAACTAGAACAATTATAGGAATACTAGAGGCCTGGTGCATGGATTCATGCACCGGTGGGGTCCAGCAGCCTGGCCTACACCCTCTTGCAATCCAGGACCCCTTAGGGGATGTCACTGCCAATTTCGAACTGAGGGCCTGCAGGGATCCCACTGAAACCGGCAGTCTGACATCCCCAAGGGATGTAGTAGTGCATGAAGTGGCAGGCTGCTGGGGAGAAGCCTGGACCAGGTGCCACACTGCTCCCGCTCATCCCAGCCCCACTTCACCTGCCGCTGCTGCTCAGTAGCGTGCTGCCGTGGAGGCAGGAGAGGCTTCTGCCGCTGCAGCTGTGCTCCCCAGCCGTGAGCCCAGCGTCTGGTGCCCATCAGGCAGCTGAGCATTGCTCCCACTGTGGGAGTGCACTGACCACCAGGGGACAGATCCTGTGTTGAGCATCTTCCCCTGGTGGTCAGTGTGCATCATTGCAAGTGGTCAAACGGTCATTCAGTTGTTCAGTCATTAGGTTGCTTAGGCTTATATAGATGATAGATAGATAGATAGATAGATAGATACTGTAATAAAAGTTATGTGAGCCCCTGGTCATTGCTCAGTGGTTAGAGCGTCAGCCCACCCACAGAAGGGTTTTGGGTTTGATTCCTAGTCAAGGGCACATACCTGGGTTGCAGTTCCCTTCCCACCCCCAGTCGGAGCACCTACAAGAAGCATCCAGTCAATGTGTCTCTTTCACATCAATGTTTCTATCTCCCTCCCTCTCTCCCCTCCACTCTGTCTGAAAGCAATGGAAGAAATATCCTCAGGTGAGGATTTTAAAAAAAAGTTATGTGAATGTGGTCTATCTCTCTAAATATTTTATTGTACTGTAGTGACTCTTCTTGTGATGATGTGGGTGACAAAATGCCTACATGAAGACATGAAGTGAGGTGAATGATGCAGGCATTGTGGTATTGCATTAGACCACTACTAATCTTATGACATCATGTCAGGAGAATCACGCGCTTCGGGTGATCCTGGATTATCAAGCCATGATAGTTTGATGGTTGGGTGTCAGGAGCAGAAGATGATGATGATGAAGGGGATATTTTTGCGGTTAGCAGGGTATTGGTTTGTTTTGTGGGGGGTTTTGACTAATGTCTTTTGGAAGAACAGTGTATTCAGAAGTTGGTGTCTTTTCATTAACTCATCAAAGTGTTGCTTCAAAGGTTGTGATCTTTGGTGACCATACAGGTGCTTTTATTTATTTTTTTTAAATATATTTTATTGATTTTTTACAGAGAGGAAGGGAGAGGAATAGAGAGAGTTAGAAACATCGATGAGAGAGAAACATCGATCAGCTGCCTCCTGCACATCCACCACCGGGGATGTGCCCGCCACCCCGGTACATGCCCTTGACCGGAATCGAACCCGGGACCTCTCAGTCCACAGGCTGACGCTCTATCCACTGAGCCAAACCGGTTTCGGCCATACAGGTGCTTTTAAAGATGTGCTTTATCTGAGGATTGTGTTTCATAATTTTGTCCTTTAATGTCTGCACAATTCAAAACACTTTGGCAAATTTCAGTAATACCCACATTGCTGATTCTGCTGCAGTTTTTCTTTTTCTTCTTTAGATAACAAGTTCTCTTTATGTTTTATTTTATTTTTAAATTTACTTTTATTGTTAAAAGTATTACAGGTCTCCCACTTTTTTCTCTCAGGACCCCCTCCACTCAGTGATTCTCCCTCAGCATGGATGTTTCTATCTCCCTCTCCCTTCCCCTCTGAAATCAATAACTATTTTTTTTTAAATAATAAAAACACATTACTTCAGAATGTGCCTGTATTTGGATTAATGGTCTTTAAAAAAATAATTAAGGTTAAGTGAGTTCATGGAGTGGGTCCTACCTAATGTGAATGGTATTCTTACAAGAAGTAGTCAGGTCACAGAGAAGCAGAGGACGCACAGGTGAAGACAAAGATAAAGGACTACCACCTACTGCCCTGGCTGGTTTGGCTCAGTGGATGGAGTGTCAGCCTGTGGACGGGGGGGGTGCCGGGTTCGATTCCAGCCAAGGACACATGCTTGGGTTGCGGGCTCGAATCCCCGCCAACCCCTAGTGGGGGCCGGGCAGGAGGCAGCCACTCAGTAGTTCTCTCTCATCATTGATGTTTTTTTATCTCTCTATCCCTCTCCCTTCCTCTCTGAAATCAAAAACAAAAATTTTTTTTAAAGACTATCACCTACAAACCAGAGAAAGGAGACTAAGGAGAAACCAATCCTGCCCAGACCCTGATCCCAAACTTCTAGCTACCAGAATTGTGAGAAAATAAATGTCTGTTTACATAGAAGACCCCATAGACCCCCAAAAGTTCAATGCACTATAAGTTTAAAAAAGTTTTATTCTGGCCCACACAAGTTTGGCTCAGTGGATAGAGCATCAGCCTGAGGACTGAAAGGTCCCAGGTTCGATTCCGGTCAAGGGCATGTACCTGGGTTGCGGGCACATCCCCAGTAGGAGGTGTGCAGGAGGCAGCTGATCGATGTTTCTCTCTCATCGATGTTTCTAACTATCTCTCTCCCTTCCTCTCTGTAAAAAATCAATAAAATATATTTTAAAAAATAGAAAAAGAAAAATTGCATCACTTTGGCAAATGACTTTCCTTATGGGACATTTTGAAAACAAGTGAACCCTAGGTCCTGATCTGGGGAGTCCTGGTTTGTGAGGTGACAGGTTGCATGGAAACCTGCAGAATGACTTAATCTCATCCCCCCTTTCTGTGTATAAACCATCCTATTAAGTGTGATAATGGGTAAGGTCTAGAGCAAACATGTCAAACTTGCGGCCTCGGCATGCGGCCTGCTGGCCACGAGTTTGACATGCTTGGTCTAGAGACAGTGGATCTGACTGCTACACAAGATACCTGGGGCAGGTAGTTCAATCAACCAAAACAACAGCAAGCCCTGGCTGGTGTGGCTCAGTTGGTTGAGCGTCATCCTGTGCACCAGATGGTTACCAGTTCGATTCCCAGTAAGGGGTGTGCAGTAGGCAGCCAATCAATGTTGTGCTCTCACATTGATGTTTCTCTCCTCCGCCCCCTTCCTCTCTCTAAAAAAATCTATAAACTACTCTTTTAAAAAAACACACAGCAAAATACAAGATGCTCATGGCTTTGTGTGAAGTCAAACAACATACTCTTTTCTCTAATATTCCCACAAATATGTGAGGACTGACTCTCGTGTAGCTGGTGGTGGGGAGAATGGAGGTCCGGATTCCTTGGGGAGTGGGACAGTGGGACACTAGTGGGAAAGCCAAGGAGTCCCACGATTGGAGGCCAGGTCTTGGCCTGCCCAGGTCCTCTTGGGATCCTGAGGGTACAGACCTCTCTGTGCCCACTCTCACCTTTGACCAGCTCAGACTGTTGGTGGCCTGGTGCACCTGCCCCTGTCCAAGGATGTGAAGAAGTTATACCTGTCTGCCTGCTCCTCCAGGATCTCCTCGGTGAAGCCAGACAGTGCCCAGTAATCAGGCCAAAAGACATCAAGTGCCTGCCTGGGCATCACCACAGGGGGGAACCCCACCATAAATTCTGATCCTCCAATCTGGTGTAGAGGGGCATCTGCATAGACCTCCAGCCAGGGAGGGAACAAAATGACACATCAAGGTCCCAAGGAAACATGGTGCCCATCACTCACTTATCCTGCCAGCTGTGGCCTGGAGTACACACAACAGACCCACCCACTCCCAACATCTAACAACCTCAGGCATCCACCCCCACCTACCCTGCCCATGAAGGGTCCCACTGCACTCCTGCCATTCACCCAAATCCCATACACACACGAGAAGGGACAGGAGTGTAAGGCTGCCCACCTGCGGTCACAGTTGTGGCCTTGCCTGGACTGGCCTGCCCTGGGCTGTCATAAAGTTACCTGAGGCTACACACGGCCGAATGACTATAAGCGTTGGAGGGAAGGTCGAAGCCACTGTCTGCAATGAGTAACACAACTTTCCTTATAGGCTTTGCAAAGCCACAGCTTCGGAAAGTCAGGAGAGAACTGGGGAACATCCTTCTCTCTCAGCTGTCTCCAGGGGCCTGTCTCTAGAACCGGGTACCTGGTAACCAGAGCTCTAACTTCTGTTTTGTTCTGTCACCAAGGAAGTGAGGTCACTTCTTCAAGGTTCCATTATGTGGGCCCCTTCCGTCAATCAGACCCACTGAAAGCTCTTACTGGGCTGTTGGCTGCTCACACTCCTTACCATGTAATCTTCATAAGGGTACACAGATATCCAACACAGCCCGCCCCGCAACTCCCTGGGAATGTAACCAGGGTCTGAGCTTTGAGGAGATAGAATTGAGTTCACATTTTTTGTTTTTTTCCAGTTCTGTGTCCTGGAAAAGCCTTTGCCACCTCAGGGCCTCCCCTGTCTCCAACATGCACAGTGGGGATGATGCTGGAAACTACTTCC